ATTTTTTATTGAGTCATGGAGAATAAAGTTGTTTTAATGAAAATGTACAAACTTAGGAGAAATCATTTGAATCTTTCAAACAAACCAGCACCTCACAAATGACACGCATATGAACCAACAGAAAGTCGAAATCTGATGATTCTTTTTGCTCTTAAACTTTGTGGCTCTGATAAACGGGATCATTTAGACAATTTTCAAAAGATAAATTGCTTTTTTTATACTCGCAGGCAGGTTCGGGGTTCAGAGGGTTCATGGTTCCTGGATGATTAATTCTAAATTTGCTAACTGCTAAACATCAGTATGATGAGCACGTTAGTGTTTATCTCAAAGTGCCATTGTACAGCAACACTGGAGTATTATTTTATCACTTTCTCAACAGGGGCTGAGGCGCTTGGTGTTTTTATTGACACTACATGATTTTATGATGGCGCAAATAAAACAACATTTTCAGCTCAGACTGTGAGAACAGTTTAAAGCTGACACTTCAGTCATGCTTTAGTTGCTACTGGAAATAACATTTTGGCTGAGATGAAATTAACATATTTATCAAAATATGCCAACTCATAGGATTTTTTATTTTTTATTTTTTTTACAGCCAAATTAAAAGCCTGTATTTACACCATTTGGCCAGAAGTACATATGCACAGCACACATTCATCCACTTGTATCAGCCATAAATGAAGCTGTGAAAAGCAGCTGCCACAGGCTGAAACCAACTGATGCACTGTGACATCAGTCATCACTGCAACTGAGTGACAAAATGACAAACTGCTGTCCCTCGAGGGTTTTGCCTCTGCCCGTCACGATTCATCTCAGCTTGTCTGCCTCAACCCCTCCTTAATGTGTCATCACCTCCCTCCATCCTCCTCTCCCTTCATCTCTTCTGTCAGATGGAGGCTATCGGGGACAGGGGGGAGGCTGAGAGCGAAAGGGGGCTGAGAAGAGAGTCGACTCCAGCTCCGGGCCAGACTTCAGTTCTACATTTCTTCTCTAAATTGCGGCGCCATGCCAGTCTGGAGGGGGCCGGGCCTTACTTTAGGAGGTGGAAGTTCGACACCAGTCACCGGGCTGCCAGTCTGGATGCCAAAGGTTTGTATACATGATATTAACGGAGGAGGAAGTTCAGGGGTAATGTCTTGCTTTGCAAAGAAATTGCATCAAAATAACTTCAAGTAAAATGTGAAAAACATCTAATTTTTCTTCTTTTTCATGCAAATTTCTACCAGGATCCCCCAAGAGAAGGCCCTTTCAGAGACAGAGGGCTGCTAGCGAAACCACTGATCACACAGAAGATGACTCTTCTCCTCTCCGAGATGAGGCCATTGAATCTTTCCCACACACTCCCATCCAGACCAGTGGCCTCCAGTCGCTCTCAGCAGAGTCTCTTACTCATCCCACATCTGCACCTACATCTTCAGTCTTCCTCAGCAGGTACATCCCTTCCCAAAACACTGTAGCTTACATCGCGTCATTGCCACAGTTACTGATTCTTCTTCTCCTTCTGTGCAGGCTAAAACTGGAGGCCATGGTGGAGGTAGGTGGTAGCAGCAGCACCAGGAGAGAGGAACTCTGTTTGCCATCAGATAGTTGTCTTGCCCTGAGGCAAGAGGAGGCCACAGTTAATGGAACAGAAGAGGAAAAAGAAACGATGTTCGGTGCAGCTTTAAGATCAGAGGCAGCAGGAGACGAGCTACAATCAGCAGAAGACGACGACTTGTTCGGGATACAACAAGAAGCTGCTATTCAGGAAAGGTTTGAAGACATGTTAAAGACAAGTAAACACACAACAGCAGACAGCGGGACAGCAGATGTGAGGAAAAAGACAGAGGCGGAAGTAGAAGATGGAGATGAGGTGGTGTTAGGTGCTGAGGCCAGACGAAGGACTGACTCAGGCTCATCTTTTTCCTTCATGATTCGCCAGGAAAGCCTGGAGGCCCCTCCTTCCCTGTACAGAGACATTTGGAGCTTGCGAGCCTCTCTGGAGCAATACGCCTCCTCAGACCAGAGCAGCACAGATCGGGAGTCCATCCGTAGCGATGCCGACAGCGTCTCGTCCCTCGGTGGTGCAGGAGCTCGTTCAGGCCTGGACAGCTGCTTGTCCCAAGACCTGGACGATGAGCCTGAGGGAGAAGGGGAGGCAGAGGCGATGGACGGAAGAACCAGAGGGGCATCAGGTGTAGACAGTGAGATGGGGAGTGTAGCTGGGGGGGAGGCTGAGGGGGGAAACAGGAAGCTCCTCCAAATGGACAGTGGCTACGCCTCCATCGAAGCACCATCCAGGGCCCCAGAGGAGATGCGGCTGTTCGGGACTCCTGGAGCCCCTCGAGGGAAGACGGCGTCCGAGAGGAGGTTGTTTTTCACCAACTCTGGAAGAAAAGGCTCTGTGTGCGAGAGCATGGAGACCAGGCTGTTTCAGGAGGAGCTGGAGGACGAGATGGCGGACAGCACAGACAGAGACGGGACACTCAAGGAGAAATCTCAGACTGACAACCAGTCTCTCACCCTTCAAGAACCATATCAGCTTCTGAAAGTCCTTCACCCTCAGAAGTCTCCAGAATCACAGACACAGCCGATGTCTCCACTGGTGAAACCAGTCTCACAGCCCTCAAGTCCCCACCGACCTCGTCTCCGCCGCCGTGACTACAGCATCGATGAGAAGACAGACGCCCTTTTTAATGAGTTTCTTCGTCACGATCCACGGTTCGACCAACAGGACTCTCCGTTACGCTCCAGACATCGATCCAGAGTTCACCTCCGGAAACAGTGGCAAAGACATAAGCAATACAGCGACCCGGGGTCCAGCACTGGGGGAAGGTACTCCCCATCTTTGGAGAGGCAGAGGTTCAGTCCGCTGAGGAGGGGAGACAGCGCCGGCTACCCTCTGGACACCAGATATCACAGCACCCTCTCTCGCATCGCGAGTGCTGCTGATGAAGAAGCCAGCGAGGTTGCTGCTTCTGAGGAGGCAGCCAAAGAGAGAGCAGAGGGCAAAGATCCATCAAACGAAGGAGCTGCGGGGGATTCTGCCGACAGAGCGGCCAACAAAACATCTGAAACAACCGACACAACAAAAAGCAGCTCTGGCTGTGCGACGTCGGATGGTGGGACCGAGGGCTGCCAAATCTCTACAAACAAGGACACAGAAAGCACAAGCAGCCAGTCGGTGAGCACGGCGACTGCACAAACGAGCTACATGGATCCAAGAGTCGACAACAGGAACAACAACAGCAGTCAGGCCATCTTATCAGAAGTTTCCCTGCAGGCAGAGAGCAGTCTGACAGACAAGCTGGCGGTGTCGGTGGAAGAGAGGCTTTACGGCGGCCTGCGGAGTGCAGAGAAGCTCGGCCAGGGAGGATCAGAGCGTGTGCTGACCGTGTCTCACACAGCCTCACCTGGATTCAGTCCCATATAACCTGTTACCATCGTCTTCATCATTTTATTTCAGATTTGTTGTCTGTAGACGAAGGTCCACAGCGAGTCATGTGCTAGCTACTCAGTTTCCGCGTCTTCTACGTCTTCTAAAAGACAGAACTACCTTCTTGATGGCCAGTCTATTCCAGCATTTCCATTTAGACCTTAACTGCCACTGTGATGCCATGTGACACGTGATGCCCCTTTCTATTGGTCATCATTCTTCAAATCAAACGCAGTCATCGCAGAGCTTTGAAAAAAAAAATAGACCCCATCGTTAGAAAACTTCAGTATTTTCAGACTTAACTGTGAATTTTTAGCATGCTACTGTAGGTCGAAAACAATGTATGTGTGAATACTGTACAGTTTTAACTCCAAAACAAAAAGCACTTTGGTGGGAAGAAGGATAATGACGGCTTTGTCACCCATTTCTCTCATTTTAAAACCATACTCTCCTCAAGTGTCCTTCTTGTCTCGATCATCGTGAGCGTAAACGCGTGTGTGGGAAGTGCTGTGTCGTATCTGGCGATGGGGAGGGAAGAAGAAAAATGTGTTGCTGTGTTCGCACCTCATCAGCAGATAAAACACTGTATCGTAAAAGTAAAAACAGATGGGACGCCCAGACGACACAGTCAACACAGCGGTGGGAAAATGTGCATCAAATAGTTGTATTTGAACAGGTTTTCTTTTTTTTCTTATTTTGTTAGTCATCTGTCCCTGTTACGCATCATAATTTAGGAGGTGGCATCCAGAAGCTTCAGTGGGCTCGACTGGAGTGTTGCTGGGACTCTGCTGAGGGAAAACTGACGGATGATATTTAAAGTGACTGACACAGGAGCCTCTCAGGCTTTTAGACAGATGGTCCGGTGACAGAGAGTTGACGCTGTGAAACGTGGAGGTAGAAACTGAATATTCGTGGAGCGGCGTCTGTTCTCGAATCCCAGCAAGTACGGGATAAACTAACAGGCTGTTACCAAACCAAAGCATGGTGACGTTCTAGATTTCCACTGTCAACAAATCCAGTGCAAAGACTAAAACCAACACCGGACTGATCCCGCCGCGCCTGAGAGAGCTAATTCTTTGAGAACTTTGTTGTTGTCGAAAAACTATTAGATACACATCAGTGAGCCACATGGTTGAACTGTGCAACATGTTCCTTCATTACAGAGAACACAGCCACTTAAAACAGAGCAACAAATGAATATTAATCTCGAGCTGGAAATACTTTCCTCACAATGCACTATTTATTAAAAGCTACAGTGCCCAGGAAATTACCTGACCTTTAAAAAATATGTTGCTGTTGACTTTCTGGAGGAACCAATGAACTTTACTACAAAGTACTGAGAGAAATGCATTTTAGGTGGCTCTTATCATACAGCATGAAGGAAAATGTCATTATTTTACTTATTCTTTACATGTCAGGTTTGAAGTCAGGAAAAGAGCCGCAGCAAAAATCACCTACTTTATTGGCTAACTGGATTATTCTCTCAATTATGTGTAAATGTCATAAATTGGTCAAAAATGTCCATGGTGACTTACAAAATCAGAAGAGGATCTTTTCAGTGCACCACAAAAAGCTTTAAAGTAACCCAGCTTTACAGAGGAGTCTACCAGGGGGTTGTGTGGTAGAAAAAATAAATCATTATTTAAGGGCAAATAAGGATGAATAAACCATGGAAATGGATCGATACGTTTGCTTTAACATAAAGGTTTGTTTGAAGCTGTGGAACATGAAAACATATCCCTAAAAAATGTACAACAAAACATTATCAACACATACAGTTCAGCAGCTTCTTCTAATAGTTATGAAACTAAGACTGGGCACTTTCTAGCAATCAAAGCTTGGCTTAATTATCCAGCTTTAGTCCTTTTCTACCTCATAACCCCCGGGGGGCTCAATACTAGTCATTCCTTTCTGGTATTTTTTTTTGTCAAACTGTAAACGATTGTTTTGTCCGATCAGGCAGTACAACACCCAGTGGTTTTTACTTGACAGTACAGACGAAGCAGCAAATCCTCACATCAGAGAAGCTGCAACCAGAGAAAGTTTGTTTATTTGATCCGCAGAAGATTTTAGGTTTTTATACATCAAAAGATCTCAGACTGAACAGCTTTTCACATTTTTAAGTGCTCTGCATTCATGTGAAACTGCGTCTCTTCGCCGTCAGAGCGCCGCTGCAGGTTCTAATACGAGATGAAGACGGTCACCTGGGTAACTGCAACGGTAGGGACAGCGTGTCCCTTTTTTTCTTAAGAGACTTGTGTTCGAGCTACAGAGTGCATCTTATGAAATTCATGTCTTTGTCCGCATTCACGGTGAACCATCTGCTTTATTGTAAAATGACTAGCGCAAGAAGATTCAAACATCTTGCAGCCTTGACGAAGGCCAGACTTTGTGGGACCCACTGAGGCAAATATCTCAATCTGGTTTTTCTGAATAAAAAAAAAAGAAAAAGAAAAAAAGAAAAAACACTTCTTATTCATGTTTTTCTTTCTGTTGTGATGTGATTCATGTCAGCTGATGTAGTGTGTGACTCTGTCAGAACTGCAGAATCATTACCATGAGTGTGCATCCTCACATACTAATCACACCGGTGAAATGTTCCTCCGCCTGTTAGGAGGAGAAAGCTCCTCATGCTCCTGTTCGACGGAGAAACCTCTCTGTCGACCTTGCTGACGTGGGAAGCGCTGCTCTCTTCCTCCCTCACAGTTGTGACTCACCTGCTCTCTGATCTATTCCCAGTGAGGAGCTGATGATGGGCCCCGGCTGCGTAAGAGGAGGGTGGGGGTGGGACGGGCTCCCGCTGATGTGATCGGCACAACAAAGGAACCAGGCGACCGGCGCGATTGTTACAGCACACCTTCTGCAACCGAGCGCGATCGGCTCTGACTACAAAACGGCTGCAGACATCAAGAGAAAGGACGAGCGCAGTGTTCCTATCACTGTAAATGACGTGTAAAATGATAATAATGAACGAAAGAAACTGACGTAAACCACTGAGCTGTATTGCATAATAAAAAATAAAAAAAAGATGCTCAACTAAAACTGAAAACAGAAAGGATCATCCAACAAAACAGCCTGTTTGGGACATATTTTATATAAATAATAATTAAAAAATATTCATTGGAAAAAGAAAAAGAAAAAAAAAGAACCTAAATGGAAATAATAATAAAAAAAAAATCCCCAACAGGTCAGTGGTGGATCTCAAGGCGTCAGTCTGTCAGTCTGTCCACAAACCAAGCACTTTGCCATTCTTCCAGCTCTGTACAGCATGCAGTTTGTATGTTTGGTGGTATTACTATCATAATTATCCTCGTCATAGATTTAAATATAGAATTATTCATAACTTTTGTTTTTTTTTTTTCCTCTTTAATTTTTTACACATCACAATGTGTCTTAAAAACTGCCATTAGGGTTCTGTAAAAACAAAGTCAAAGAAACAGAAGGTGGAGGGGGGTGGATGGGTAGGAACAGGGGTGGGTAGAGGTCATGGTGTCTGTAACGTCCGGTGCAACACTTGGCCCTCTGAGGAGGACGGCAGGATGGAGAAGGGGGAGGGGAGGGGGAGGGAAATGAGGACAGAAGAGGATGACACAAGTTGAAAGGAGCCAAAATATCGGAGAAAATAAACACCATCTTCACAGGCAGTGCCTCAGTCTCAGAGCAAAAAGAACATTTCATGCTGTCCTCCTCCTCCCCGTCACTCATACCGCATCTTCAAAAAGGCCAGTGGTCCAAGGAGGTATGGAGGGTTGAGGGGGGGGGCGGGGGCGGGCATTAACGTCAGCAGGCTTCTCTCACAAACTGTGAGGACTCCGGACACAGAAGGACAGATCAACCTGAGAGGACAGAATATAATAAGAAAAAGCAAAACAAACAAAAAAACTCAACACGCAGCAAAAACAAGTTTCTCTGAGACAAAACGGAAAATAGTATGACGGAATCATTACAAGACAGGCACTAATTGGCGCTGTTAAGTCGGAAAGGCTCAGCCCACAGAGCGAGAAAGAGAGAGACAAACATCCCACAACCCACTTTTATCTCATCCAGGATGAGTCATCGCCTGAACAAATTAATACACAGCATCTCTTCTGCAGTGCACCCATGACAAACAGCCTCGCGCCGTGAGTGGTTCGTATGTGCGGAAGAAGACTGAAAGAGCGGCTGTGGGTGGTAACTGGAAAAAGAGGAGGACAACCTGTTAAATTTATGTGTACGCTCGCAGCAACAATCTGCCCCACTTCAGCTGAACGAGGGCTTCTGAAGAACCCTTCAAAAGGCTGCGATGTGGTTAAAATACGAACAGAAAAAAAAGAGATGCGCCAAGACAGCGCTAGTCCAGATGTAGCTGTTGTGACTGTATAGGAAAACGCCCATGTGTTTGCCTGGGGAGCAGCGGTGAGTCAGAGCTCTGCTTGCTGAATATCAACACAGAGTCTCTCTCCCCTCCCTGATTTCCTCTTCCACTCCTCCTCCTCCTCCTCCTCCTGCCTGATACTCCTCTTTACGTCTCACTCTGTTCTAACGTGCTCTCATCTCCCTCCTACCTTTCTATCTACATCTGCTGCACCTGTCCTCCTCCAGACTTTTTTTCCCCCCTCTTTCTACTGTATAAAAACGGAGGCCATCAGAAGCACAGATTCACTGAAAGCTTTTGTGAAGAGTCTGCACACTCACCAGGCAGGTTGTTGGGAGAACAGGGAGAGGGGTCATTGCTGTTTGCAGGTGGAGAGCTTGCGGATTTTGCTGGCTGTGGAGACTCCTTTACGTGAGGGGTTGGACGACGAGGAGGATCGGCGTTCGGCTTTGGCCTTGGTGTTCAGAGACCCCCCTTCTGTCCCGTTCACACAAACTGGCTTGGCTACAGCTGGACTGTGGTCTGCGTTCCCCTGATCCTGATCTTCTTCGGCCACTTGTCCTGAAGAAACACACATAAGGCTCAGGATGAATCGTGTCGACTAAGTGTGAAGTGATATCACGCTGTGGGTGATGACATGGATAGAAATCACCACAGATCTGCTGCTCCAAAAAACTGTAAACAAGTTGATTTTAAAGGGGACCATTAGCTCTTTAAGCAACTTCTCATTTTTTTCTCATTGCAAACTCATTTCTCACAGCAATATAAAGGCCTGCAGCTCTGAGGAAACGGCACGACCACGACTAGAGGCAGAGAGAGCTCAGAAATGTCCTCTCAACACAGTTATAATGTCATCAATTGAAAGTTGAATTTCTCTGATTAGTTTACAAAAAATGGAATCAACAGTTTTCCAAATGCCAACAGACATTACCAACACTGGAAAAAATGGTGTCTATAGATACACTACGAGAAATATTTAATGACGTGCATGATTTTCTGTTTAAACTTGTCTTCTGTTTGTTCTGTGTAAATACAGCCTGCAGTTTGGGCAAAAAGTCTCAGAATTTTTGTTACGTGACTGTTGGTCACAGCTGAGTCACTTCTCAGTTGTGCCAACAGGTGCAAAATTGTTTTTTGTGTTTTTTTCCGGAATCTGCTCTGAGTAAACAAGTTGATTCTTTGGCGAATGTCTGATATGACACATGCAGAATAAAGTGACTTTCTGGTGGAACAACTGACTGACTAATCATTCTGGTTTTACAGTTTCTAGCTCGGCTCAATTATGTACCTTTGGACACTTCAAAAAAAAAAAAAGATAACAAGCCTTTTAAACCCTCCAGCAGATTTTGGAGTGTAAAGAGTGAAAAACCTTATTTGTCAACAGGAGAACCATAAGATATGTGTGAGAAACAGTAACCTACAACAACACGTAATCCAACTGCTTAAAAACAGAGCTTAACCTTAATGTGACCTGTTTATTTTCATGTACAGAAGTGTGTGTTTGCATGTGTATTCGAGGCCTTGAGTAATGTGCAATTAGTTCCCACACAGCAAAAACTGTAACTCTTCGCATAGACTATTAGAAGCAGTGCGATGTAGTCACTGCTACAGAAAAGCAGCAGGTCAAACAGCTGTTTAATTTACCATCCACACTCGTCTTTCATTCATATGAAGCCTCCTATGAGTGACAGCGCGCTGCGTGTGTGGGCGTGAACCCTGGAAAACCATTCATACTCCCACCACAAAACCATTTCAACAGGACTATTTTTAGATCTCTTCATTCACATTCTGCAGCTCCATTTGGTTTTTATGTGGGGCACCACTTCTCGATACCCGACACTGACTACTGCATTTATTATTACTGGCTGTTGCCTAGCAACAGATAAAAGATCTGAATTCTGGGGGAAAGATGATAAAAGAAGAGTCGGGGAACAAGTTAAATCAAATGTGAAAGACGCTGTTAATATCTATTTATCCCAAAGTCTGTCAACAGTGAGTTAGAGTTTGTACACACAGCTAATAGAAACATTTCCAAATCTGAACAAATGTGACAAAGTGCAGCTCGCTCCAGACCTGTGAATCGATGCACACGTCTCAGCTTACTTCAGTGACGGACCTTTTTCACAGCAGATACTTTGACTTGTCACAGCAGAGGGAGCATAGCTGGATGTGATAATGGATGATGGACCTCCCCTAAGTGCAATACACTCTGCATTAATAAACTTCCCTACTGTGACAAGTCAAAATGTCATGCCATGAAAGAGGTCTTTTTACAACAGGTAAACAATCTAGACAGTCAACCAATCAGAACAGGTGGCTTTAAAAATCATCTTCCTACAATACACTCATGAGAAACTGTGACCGAAATCTGGAGACAAGCATGAATGAGATTGATGCAGCTGTACAGGATGCTTTAAAATCTATGTATAAAAATAATTTCTAAATTGGTATAATGCTTTGATCAATGTGAAGAATGTCGTTTAGTGATCTTAGCGAAAGACAGCAGCTTCTATGACAACTGAAACTGATGGCCACGTTCCAACACCCGCACTAACATACGACATAGCGTGCCAGGAAGGGATTTAGTATGTCAAATGCAGTGTGCCAAAAATACCAGGACGTCCTTATACATCCGGTCGCATTCTGCAGTATGCAAGCGAGCATGCATTTCTGGTCATTCTGACATACAATCTTCTGTACTGTGGAGGATACGTCACACAGATCAGTGTCTTGCACAAGTATAAACAGGCTTGAGTCGCCGAGAGCGTACAGACAGATGACAGCTCATACTGTGACAGATATAAAGCTTAAGGTGCAATATTGTGACGAATTGGCATGTCCAAATTATAAGGATCTTCCACACAAATGTAGGTGCTTTGTGAGGGCAGCTGCTTTAAAAGCGTACGTTTTATAAAGACAGTCAATACTGGCGGGACTGATGCGTCTTTTAAGATAGTGATTGGTTAGGGTGACATGAGCACAACGTCAGACCGAACAAAGGAAGTGAAACTAAATGTTAATTCTCGTAGATTATCAGGCTATATAAAGTAAGCAGTTTCTGGTAATTTGTACACTGACCCGCACTGAGGAGCTGAACTCTGAACCGAGAGGCCTTTCTTTACTTCACCATGTTGCAGTTTTAGTCAGATGAAGAGGTGGCAGTTTCAGTGTTTTGTAATATGGAACTAAAAGAAATGCAAGAGGCAAGGCTTTTGCTGAACCAAACAGCATCTGATGTGCAAGGTTTTTCCAACTCTTGGGTGTTTTTGTTGAGCATCTTAAGCTGAGTTTATGTAAATAATATAATGTGAAAACAATGGTGATCATTCTGTGTTAGTAACAGACTAGATTAGCAAATGAAATAAACTAAACAACCAGAACGACAAGACTCGTCTAATTTTACTCCACAATGAAATACTGGTGAAACAATATTCCCATGTGTACAAATTATTTCATTAAATCTCAAGCATACTATCTAAGACTATTGACTTTAAGTAGAATCCGTTTTGCCACCTGTTTTTTTTTTTACCAAATCTGGTAAAGCCAGTGGTTGAAAAAACTTGAGGAGAAACTTTAAACTCCCAACCACCACTGTCCTCTTGAAAACCAAGAGAAAACCTGCATAAAGGTAACTCAGGCCTGCTTTTAACTTCAAATACAGGATCCAATGGTTTACACCTAAAAATAATTTGGTTAGCAAACAACAAAGACGATGAAGTCTCAATGGTAAGAAAAAGCAGCACAAAATATAACTGAAAAAGAAGTGCACTGCTAGCGTGCTTTCAACATAA